CAGCACTAAACTATGTTTTCTACCTTTATCTTGCATCTACCTACCACTTCAGCATTTTATTAAAAATAAAAATAATAATAATAATAAAGGGAGAAATGTGGGATCAACATATAAATCAAGTACAAAAATCAAACGAATATTCATATTTGACCTGATTGTTTATAGGTCATAATGCGTGATCAAAACCGAAAGTTTCTGTGATGACTGCCCTTGTACTGTTCACCATCTAAGAATTTATTCACTATGTAAGAATTCGTTCACCATGTAAGAACTTGTTCGTTATGCTTCAGAAGATTGGAGACTGACGAGAATTAGACTTGAGATGGATTAATGATTGTACATTGAGCATTGGCCCCCCCATACTGAATTTTATTGTTGTTAACCATTTGATCAATAAATATGAGAGATGCCCTCTCAAAAAAAAAATAATAGTGTTGGGGACCTTTGCTATTTTACCATCCCCTCAATTCCCAGTAGCATTTTACTGCACCCACACCTTTTGTAAAGGTGCTTACAATTATATAGTTTTTTAAAAATAGAAGACATGTAATTTTGTGAAAATATATCAGTGTTGTACAATGCCAAATACCCACTGCCCCCAAACAGCAACATACACATCCCTTTAGTTTCTGGCATTTTTCTCTCAAATCATACCTCCTCCTGTTACATAAAGTTCAATCCATTTTTAAGTATTTAAAAATCAAGGTGTGCATTAATACCAAGTTCAGGGGTTGTTCAAGGCCTTTCTCTGTACATTATACAATTGACATTATTTATGAAGCTAAGTACTGTAGTGCTAAGTATTCATGAAGATACACTTGAAAATACGTTCTACCCCGTAAGCCATAATTACTTTGAGCACACCCTCCCTTAGTTGCTAGTCCTTTTTTTATGGTATTTTTCTTTTATTTTTACTTTAGGCTCTTTCAAAATAAATTATAGTGACATTTAAAAATCGTTCCAATATATTGCAGTATATACCTGTTTTTATGCGTTCTGCCAAAGTACCCTTTCCTTTTAAATTTAGTGAGTATTTTATTTGAGCATCACATCTTTCTCCTGTAAAGAGTGTGACACCAAACACAGATCCCTGCAGGACCCCCCAGCGTGTGCTTGGATGGAATCCATTTGACCAGGACCCAAGTTTCTTTTCTGGCTTACCTAGGCCTGGCTTCCATTCCCCTTCTTCCAGAGTTGAGTCACATTTTTTGAGTTTATGATGAAAGGGAGAAAGAATGATTCATCATTAGCTTTGGTCCCTAGCCTCATAAATTTTCTTCTCTTCACCTAACTCATCATCATCATTACTAATTATACTCCAGAAAGTAAACTGGAATGCAGTGCAAGCTGACTTAATACAGAATAAATCAGTGTGTAAATCAGAGAGGCTGCTGTGGCTGAGCTTGGAAAATAGGAACTGTTTTTCCATCAGCTTTTGTGTTCAGCCTGTATTGTAAGGCGTAGACTTACTTGGCTAGAGTTGGAAATCGAGCAGTATAATCTAATTTTAAGGAAGCTCAACACCAATTAAGTGAACATTGCTTGGAACATAAATTCATGAATAAAATTGCATGTTGGTTTTGGTGAAAAATGATAGTGTGACAGGTCTTGGGGCGGGGCCAAAGAGAACACTTGCGTTCCGCCTCCCAAGCTGTTCAAGAGGGCAGTTTTCTCAGAGCCAGGAAGTGCCTCTGGGCAGGTCGCACGCAGCACTGAGCAGTCCGGAGGAGTCCGGTTCGGGTCGCCGGAAGGAGAGAGCTGGCCCCAGTGCTGTCTGAGCCCTTCGCTGCAGGCAGCCCATGAACTCTGCACTCTAGCCTCAGCCCCCACCTCCTTGGCCTGGTAGTGGGGACTGTTTACAGTCTGTGGTCCATGTCCTGTGCCTGGCTACACTCATCTCTCCTCTCCTGTGGGACCTGCTCCCCTGGTTGGGCCTATAGGAGGGTGCTTACAGGTTCTGTGATGAGAATTTTGTTTATTTAAGAGGCATCTGTATCAAAGACCTAAACGTAAGAGCTAAAACTCTTAGAGACAGTATCTGTAAGGTCCTCTTGTATTAGAAAAAATCCTCTAGCCCGTGTCACAGCTGGAGTACAGAAAACGTCCTGTAATTGGTCGCCTTTGTTCCTTTGCTCATGCTGGTTTCTGAACTTGAAAACAACCTGTCCCTTGACTTGGCATGTCTAAATCCTCTCCAGGATCCAGATTTTTCACCTAGGTGTTCCTAATTCCTCCAGTTCCTGGATAGCATGTATCACTCTGTATTTATATTACAACTGCTTACGTGCTTGACTGTTTAAATCCCTTCAGGCTGAGTTTTTTATGGGCAAATGACAAGGTCTTGGTTACAAAGGACAAAAATAAATACCACAGTGCTTGGCACATGGTAGACATTCAGTGAGAATTTGAATGAAATCAATGAATGGAAAAGAAAATATATTTATTTGCTCATTCTTCACTAACTTTAAATTGCTTACAAGAAGGGTTTGGGTCTGATTCATCTTTATATCCTACAGTAACTAGCATTCTGCTTTGTGCATGATAGATATTCAGTAGATGTTTCTTTTTAAAAAATTTTTTGCAGCTTTACTGAGGTGTGACAAATAAGATTGTAAGATTTTTTTTTAAGATTCTTTTTTTTATTAAGTTATCATTGATATACAATCTTATGAAGGTTTCACGTGAGCAACATTGTAGTCATTATATTCACCCATATTATCAAGTCCTCCCTAACACACACCCTATTGTAGTCACTGTCCATCAGCATAGTAAGATGCTGTGGAGTCACCACTTGTCTTCTCTGTGTTGTACTGCCTTCCCCGTGACCCCCCTACATTATGTGTGCCAATCATAATATCCCTTAATTCCCTTCTCCCTCCCTCCCCACCCACCCTCTGCACCCCATTCCCTTTGGTAACTGCTGGTCCCTTTTTGGAGTCTCTGAGTCTGCTACTGTTTTGCTCCTTCAGTTTTGCTTTGTTCTTTATTCTCCACAGATGAGGGAAATCATTTGGTACTTGTCTTTCTCCACCTGGCTTGTTTCACTGAGCATAATACCCTTTAGCTCCATCCGTGTTGTGCAAATGGCAGAATTTGTTTTCTTCTTATGGCTGAATAGTATTCCATTGTGTATATGTACCACCTCTTCTTTATCCATTCATCTGCTGATGGACACTTAGGTTGCTTCCATTTCTTGGCTATTTGTAAATAGTGCTGTGATAAACATAGGGGTGCATCTGTCTTTTTGAATTTGGGATCTTGTTTTCTTTGGGTAAATTCCTAGGAGTGGAATTCCTGGCTCAAATGGTATTTCTATTTTTAGTTTTTTGAAGAACCTCCATATTGCTTTCCACAGTGGTCAAACTAATTTACATTCCCACCAACAGTGTAGGAGGGTTCCCCTTTCTCTGCATCCTTGCCAGCATTGTTGTTCCTTGTCTTTTGGTTGGTGGCTACCCTAACTGGTGTGAGGTGATACCTCATTGTAGGATTGTAGATACTTTAAAGTATACATTGTAGTGATTAGATATACACCTGTGAAAGGATCCCTCTCCCATCTAGTTGATTAAAATGTCCATCACTTCACATATTTATCTTTTTATTTGATGAGAACATTTAAGATCTACTCTTAGCAAATTTCCGTTATTTAATAAAATTTCTTGAATTAGCAACGAGCTAAGTAGTTGATTATGATATGAGCTTTCTGAATTGTATATCACTGTTTGACTTTAAGTGCTCTTACTGTAGCTAAAATATTTTAAAATATGTTGCTTTTTTGATTGTCACTGCTTTTATCAGTGACTAATTTTTACTTTGAACTTAACCTTTTCTGCATTCTTTACTTTTTTAGCAAATTTTATATCATTGGGAAGGGGGGTGTGCATTCTTAATTTCACAGAGCAAGTTAGAAAGAAAAAGAAGGTTCATTTTTTATGAAAAATGTGAAAGAGCTTTTTCTCAGTAGCTCCTGCCTCTGGTTATAGGAGGGGTTCCAGGACTAGCAATTATTTCTACAGTTTTCCATCCAGAGACACACAATTTGGATTCTTTCAGTAGCAAACAGAGTCGGGCAGCCTTTATTAAAACATTGCTGGAGCACTAGGGGGTTCCTCAAAGCCCAGTTAAGTTGAACTAAGTAAGTTATTCTCTCCCCTAGCTGCTTGCCGGTCTGTCCAACAACCTTTCACTATATACTGTGTTATGACCAGTGAACTAACAGTGTTTGCTTGTAGTCACGTTGCTCGATGCAAGCCTAAATAATAAAGAGACTGAAGTACTGACTGAAAAATCCTGTGTGCCTTTGTGACCCCTACATCCAAAATTCCCTGATGTTGCAGGTTTTTTTGTTATTTTGTTTGATTGTGTTGTCTCTTTTTAAACCAGTTGACAAGAATTACCTTGGTTCAAACAATTGGGTGGAAAAGATAACAGATGCCCGAGTGTGGTTCTTTGGCAGCATCACTTTAACTACCTGTGAGAGGGCAGCAGTCCTAACCCATATAATATAGTTAAATGGAGTACCTAGATTTGAGGAGTTGCCTGAATCTGGGAAAGAATACTTACAGGTAGGTAGGCAGAGTCAGGAAAAGAAGACCGGAGGATCTAAGGGAAGAAATTTACTTTTAGAAAATGCTACAAACTTACTGGAAGCAAGAGAATTTTTCCAGTGTATTTTAGAGGAAGAATGCAAGGGCCACTGAAATATACAAACCAGAAAAAATGGACTCCCTCTTTATGAAGTACAGGGCATCATATGCCAGCAGAGAGGCATTTGTTCTTTAGAAATGAGCCAGGTATTCGCCATGAGAAGCCATCCGAGACAACTCATGTATCTTCCACTGGGCTTTGTGGGCAGGAATCCTGGAGTCTCGTGGGTGGGAAATTTTTACAATTTTGACCCAGTGTCAAGACTTTGGAGCCGTGATACAAATCCATCAGATGTGCTGACATCTCAGCTTGTTGGAAATAATTCAGTTTGTTTGCATTTTTGTCTCCTTCAGAAATGAACACACCTGAGGGTGCTAGCTGCCCTTGAGCTCCCCAGCACCTCACGACTTTGGGAAGGCGCAAAGAAGGAAGGTGTGGGACCGGATTGGTGGGCTCTCAGAACAAGCTGCTTCCCCTTGGCCTCGGCCTTCCTGCTCTCAGTCTGCGATGGAGACCCTCTCCCAAGATTCTCTGCTGGAATGTCAGATCTGTTTCAATTATTACAGCCCCCGGCGCAGGCCCAAGTTGCTGGACTGCAAACACACCTGCTGCTCAGTGTGCCTCCAGCAGATGAGGACAAGCCAGAAGGACGTGAGGTGCCCTTGGTGCCGGGGCATCACCAAGCTGCCCCCGGGCTTCTCCGTGTCGCAGCTCCCCGATGACCCTGAGGTCCTTGCCGTCATCGCCATCCCGCATGCCTCTGAGCACACCCCGGTCTTCATCAAACTCCCCAGCAATGGGTGCTACATGCTGCCCCTGCCCATCTCCAAGGAGCGAGCGCTGCTGCCGGGAGACCTGGGCTGCCGCCTGCTGCCGGGGAGCCAGCAGAAGTCCGTCACCGTGGTGACCATCCCTGCAGAACAGCAGCCTCTGCACGGCGGGGCTCCCCCAGAGGTGCTGGAGCAGGAGCAGGACAGGCGGGGCGTGGTGAAGAGCTCCACCTGGTCCGGGGTGTGCACTGTGATCTTGGTGGCCTGCGTTCTGGTCTTCCTCCTCGGCATCGTGCTGCACAACATGTCTTGCATCTCCAAGCGCTTCACTGTGATCTCCTGCGGCTGAAGAGGGCCGCAGGGAAGGCTTGTGTGGGTGCCGACTAGGGGTTGAGCAGGTGTTGGTGATGGCATCACAGTGAGGAGGTGGAGGGCGATGTGGATCGTTTGGGGCCACGCCCTGGCCTCTGGCCTGCCCCTTGATTAATGGAAGACAGGGCAGACGGAAGGTCTCAACACCATACCAGGCAGTCCGATCTGAGCGTTGATGGCAACAGCTTCGAAGACGATTGCATGCATCCTCATAATCACTTATTAAATGGACTGTAATTTATGATTTTCCCAAATCATGTTACGAAATAGACATATTCTACCTAGATGTTAAACTGTGCAAGTGCATACAATGTGACCTCCTCTAAATGTGGTAGATTAAAACAAAGATGCTGTGTATACAAGTAGAATTAAACCTGAGAATCTGTGTAAAAATTCAGCAATGACATGCAGTCCTGGTTTCTTTCCTTTTTTAAAATGAAACCTAGTCTTCATTCAGTTGCTAATAAGACTTTTTATACTTTAAGGATGGCACCCAGATTAAAGTAAGTTAAGCCAGATGGTCTGTTTTTTTGAAGAAAATATTTGAACAAACGTTTCCAATGTGTTGTGCTTTGTCATGAACCTTCATTTTTCTTCCCCTGTAATTAGAGCTTGCTACATGTTTATTAAGCTGAAAGCCCAACAGGGGAGCAATAAACTGAGTAATAGTGAGAAATGCATAATCCCACAGGAACCCTATATGCCAATTTTTCTCAAGCCATCTCACAAAATAAGAATTTTAAATGTAAATATCGTGTATTTGTGTGTGTGTATGTGTGTGTGTGTGTGTGTGTGTGTGTGTGTGTGTGTGTGTGTGTGTATGAGAGATTTGATATGCCTCAGGTTTTGAATCTCCTGAAGAATCCTGAGAGTGTAAGACTTTGTGAGCCTGAATGGGTCCAGGGTCTGAAACGTCGGCCACTGGATCCCACTCTGAATCGTCACATACTTGTCGCTTCCCATGTTTACTTCTCTTCTGTATACTCAAGTCTTATATTCTGTGAGGCACAAATGGAGAACAACAGAAAGTTCTCTTTTCTCCCAGTTTTGAGGTATTATAATACACACAAGTGTTGTTAATTGGTGACAAACCTGGCCTGGCGTTTTAGTAGACAGTCCGTGGTTGTGTTTTGAAAGCTACTCTTCTATGAGAATTAAACCATTTAGAATTCCAATTTCCTCTTGTTTGGTATAAGTGAGAAAATCTCTTGTATTTCAAAATACATTTTTATTGAGAAAAGTTGCAAAGTAAACAAACAGCTCTCACCCCCAACTTCAGTGGACCAGTTCATTATAAATTCTTAAATATTCTTAAATGTGGAAATGTCTGTAGATACTCATGAAGATCTGATGGTATTAAATGACAAATTCCTGTGCTGGGATGTGTGTGCATTCAGAAATGGCTTGTGAGCTTTACAGTCCTCTTCTAATTACTTTTATGGAATTCATGAAGCAAGTGTATTTGAAAGCTCAAAGTAGAAATTAGGTTAAAATGCCATTTTATCGTGTAAGCCATTGGGCATTATACAACAAATAATCTAGGATTTATTTGGTATTAATAATTTAGGTATCATATTAGCTGAATGCTATCCTCTATTATGTAACATAATATACTGTTGGGTTAGTGTCAATTTCTCAAACTCTCCCAGGCTGCTGTAATGCATGTCTGACCTAATTTCTACTCCTCCTGGAGAAAAAGAAAAGAAAAACCCACAGAGAAATGTTACATTAAAAATGCTGCATTTCAAATGGACTTTACCCTTGCAATTTTAAGCCATGCCGTATTCAAATCAATTTTGTGAATGATATCTGAGTACATTTTTGTATAGTATGAAATGACCGGCCCCATAGTGCAGTTTGCAATAAAGTTCAATGTGTTAAGTAGGTTATTTATATAGACACTAATGTGTATGATAATACAGCGCCCTGTGTTTCTTAGTGCAAAGCTGTAGAGTGACAATACCCACGTAATAACTTATACTTAAAAGCAGTCCCGTGCTAGAGCTGCAAGAGAGCAGTGTAAAATTAATCCACTCTTTGATAGATTCCTAACTTTACAATTTAAGCTACTGATAACAACCAAAATCGGAATTTTTTGCGGGAGTTTTCCTGATGGAAGAAACACTTCACTTAAATGGACTCTGCCTGCAGTCATTTTTGTATCTGCTTGTTAGGGTGTGCATTTGTGTGTGTGTGTGTGTGATATCTCAGCCTGCCAGATGGAATGTTTATAGCCGTAATAATGTTTTCATGTTATTTGGCATCCATTGCTCTGGCCTCTTCTGGCATTTATCCATGACACTAACAACTCATCTACACCAATGGACCAAAGTCCACACAATCGACCAGAATTCACAGTTGCACTGAATGAAAAAAAACCACAACTGAAAGCACAGAAAGAGCTGAAAGCGACCTCTGATGGCTCCATTTTGCAGATGGGCCCATTGAGGCCCACAGAGGTACACGGCAGCTTGTCATTCTGCAGCAAAAGGGAGAAGTTTGCACTGCAGTTTCTTCTTGCTCCTGTTCATGCCTGTTCTGTGTCTGTCGGGCTGTGATCTTTTTCAGGGTGGATGACTATTCCTTGTTGACTTAACTATTTAAGTTTGGGAGATTTTTAAATAGAGTTATGTATTCATTTTAGTTAGCATCTACCTCTTTGGGAAATGAAAGGAGGATTGATTGAGAGATGAGTATAGACATTCAAAGAAAACCATGTGATTTGAATTTTTTGAATTGCAAACTATTGGTTCCCCCCTCCTGCCCTTGTATGTAAAGGACAATGATGCTGTGTAAATAGTAGACTATAAGAAGCATGAAATTTCATCTTTATTAATGATCTTGACCTAAGCAAGAGAATGCTTAATATGTTAAGTAGAGCCAAGTATGCTATCAAAAAGCATTCATTGTCTTTGGAAAATTTTTGTATAATGACCTGGGATATAAGTTATAATGAAAAAGCAAATCAGTTCTTACTTCTGGTCATACTTTATGACCAGAAAGCTATAAGGTATTTTCTTTAACAATATAACTGTCATCTTGTGCATGGCATAAGACTGACTTAATCTCCCTTGAAGGTTAAACCAGGTGCTGGTGCATGCAGCCCTCGGGATCTCCTAGACTGGCACTGTTCAGTAGTACTGTCTGTGATGATGGAAGTGTTCTATAACTTATGTCCAGTGTAGTAGCCACTTGCCACATTGGCTATTGGGCAATTGAAATGGGGTTAGCATGAATGAGCAACTGGATTTTGTATTTTATTTAATTTTAAGTTATTTAAATGTAGTCACAGCTAGTGGCTACTGCACTGAACAGTAAGTTCTGGATGGTGGTGCAATGCGATCATGCCTCGAAGTGTTAATGAAGTAACACAGTAAGGCTAAGAAGACAATTTGTGGTTCAGTAACATAAAGTTAGCTACCAAAAAAAAATCCTTTCTGGGCTTAAAAAGTATATGACCTCAAGTATGACAGTAAAAATTCATTGATTGCCTTTTGGGGTTATAACTTAGCTACTTTGGGCCAAGGAATGATTACTGAAGCTTAAAGAGTGCTTTATGAAGACCCACCCGTTTCTGGGGTCATTAGCTGCATGTTAATCTGTTGTCCATAAATAGTAGTTAGACAGTAGCTATAAAATGTGTTTGACTTGCAAACTATGCATGACCTGTATGGTGAAATTGTGTTTAGGGTCTTATGGCCAAAAAGTAAATGTTACAGGAAAAAAAATTCTAGTGAATTTCCTCTTCACTTTCAACATCTTACCCACACTTCATTGCTGCATTAGTAAGGTGTGAAATATAAGAGCAAGCATGTTCTGCAGTGTTCATGGAGTGTTTTTGTTTGCCCTTGAAGTCTGCCAGTTTGTCACTGTATTTGCTGTAATACGTGAGCGTCATTTTTCAGATGCCAGACTAAAGTGTAGGTACTATTTTTAGGGTGAGATTCGACATTGTGTTACTCTTACTTGGTTTTTGATTTTTAGTTACCACTGAAAGAATTGAAGATTTGTAGCCTTGCACAAAGGCACTTTCTTTTTACCTTAAAAAACATTGCCCATGAAATTTAAAGACTTGAGGGTTATTAAGGTTAGTAAAATTGCTTTTTTAAGTGAGTAAAGGAAAGCAGAAAATTCAGTTTGAATATATTTCCATAGAAAAGATCAGATTTCTCCTGCTAGTGTAGTATTGATTCCAGTCTGATTTTGATTTGAAGAGTTCCTGCCACTTTATTTGAAAACAGTGTCAAAACTGGTTAGTCTGCTTTTCATTGTTTCCAAAATAATGTAAATATTACATTTGCTTCAATGTAGCAGAATTGGGTTGACTTTTTCTCTCGAGCTCATCAATGGCTATGACTTCTTTTTAGCTTGTCTTTAAAAATGTATTGAAAAATTATTGAAAAATAAAATGGTAGTTTCTCTTGAGAGTTAAGAGAAAGTTTGAGGTCCAATGGTTATTGGTATAAGAGAAGTGATATTGAAAAGGTTTGAATTTCTGTCTTTCCTTCCTTAGAAAAATGGTGCCGCCAGCCAGTCAGCATTTTGTTTCCACACAAAAGTGCCATTAGTCAGTTCATCTGTCATCCTTGACCTAGAAGAAGCTGTTCCTTGCCATTTCCATCATTCTCAGTAAAATGTCATCCACAAGGTAATCCTTAACAAAACAGAACTCCAAAGTAACGAGATAGTCAAGATAATTTAGTAACTGTTTTGAAAGTAGCAGTCTATTTCAAAAGCAAGATCATCCGTTGCTGAATTTTGTTAAATATGAAACACCTCTAGGAAACTAAGTGGAGATTCAAGCCATTGATTTCTTCTGACACAGTGATACACTATGTATAGGTATACATATATATCTATACATTTAAGTATAAGCATACATGTAGACACACACATGACTTAGCTGTAATAATGAAAACTTTAAGAGTTTTTAATCTAATTTGTGGGTTACATAATGTTGAATTTAGATGTTAATTTTTTTAACAAATGCTATAGGCTGCATACATCATATCATACCAGCCACCTTTGAGAATGTCTGTATAAGTAAACTGAGACCTTTCAAATATATGAAGAGGTGGGTTCTACTGTACATTTTATTGGAAAGCCATTAATGATTGAAGCACATAAGCAGATGGGGCATTTGATTTCCATCTTCCAAATGGCTTATTTGTTGGTTTGCTCAAGTGGTCATGGGTAGAGTAGCATTATTGCTGAACTCCCACAATATGGCTCCAATTTTTCGGCACCAGTTTCCTTGCACAGTTGGGCCACTGTTTTTTGTTTTCTTCTGTTATATTCAGGATTCACTGCCTGGGATATCCCACTATGTATATCTCACTTAAGATGTAGTGGTGCTTGAAAACATCTCGTTAGCTGGACTTTTTATTATTCTAAGGTTTTTGATACTATTCATATTACAATCTTTTTAGGGACAATAGTAATATTTGGGGCAAAGTACAGAGGAGTCTCTTAAGATCTGCAACAGCATGTGTTTTCTTTGTTCTTCTGGGGGTGTTCCCTTATAGCTGTTCCTGTTCTTCTAGAACATGGCCCTAAATTCATCACCACAGGATATAGGGCTAGTTGCCTGTGTGAAAGTCTTTTGTACTCTCTGGGGTGTGAGTCACTGGGTTATTCTAATGAGAGTTTTCCAAAGGTATAGTCAGTTTTTAATTCGACGATTCCTTTTTAAGAATCCAGAATTAGATGGTTGGATATGATGGTGGAAAAGGAACAGGGACTATAAGAAGTAGGAAATAGATGAGGCAAATGCCTCTTAAAGGGGAGCAAGCTGCTATCTATGTCATCTCATTTTAAGTGGTGAGAGAATAGAGTAGCTGGTATCTCACACTGTGCTTCAGAAAATTCCTGGTCAGATTTTCCTGGCTGAGAGACGCCCAACTATCAACTAGATGCTGTGTGGGAGGGGTGACGTCATGGCCCTAAGTCTACAGCAAAAGATAGGCAGATCTGCCCAGAGAATGAGAAAACACTTGCAAAAAGGGAGAGAAATCCACAATGGGATTATGGCTGCAAAACAAAATATATCCCGGAGCTGAAGGTCAGTCATGTTAGAAAAGAGCTTAGGGCAACTAGGAGTAACGTAGCCAAGCCCAATGTGTCATCAAAGGGAAGCCTACCAAACTCAAAGCAGGATGTTTAAGTTGAAGGCATATAGGAGTGTTGTCAGCTGATGGGAGGCCCCGCAAAAGGCCCCACTGCGTTGTCAACACACTAGACAATTCAGAGCCTGCTCTCGAGCTGGTTGCTGAGTCATGACAGAGTCTGACAACACCCTCTTGGCCGTGCAGCACAATGCCTGTGCTTGTGGGTGTTTGCTAACTGGACGAGGTGAATACCCTGGGGAAGACTCATTCAAGAATAGTTTGGTTTCTATCCCGGTGGTTGTCATTTATTACATTTATTTATTCCACCACTTGCTCCTGTCTTTCTCCTTGACAATTGCAGGTGGGGAGGCTGGCTTCCCCTTGGGAAGGGTACGAACTCCAACAGAAGGCGTGCAGCCTCTGCCTGGAGTTTCTGCCATTACTACGGCCCCGCTGGTGGTTGCCTGGCACTCTTAATAACTAATACTCCAGTCAAATGGCTAGATTGATGCTGCTCAGAGGCTGTGAACTCAAGTCCTTGACATGTTTCATTTACAATTATGTGGATTATTTATTTTAGGAGCTTTTCTTTTAATGGGCCAGATAGCCCTACTGATAAATGAGCTGTTGGGCTCGGTAGAAAATACTGTCCAAATATTGCCCAATATTGACCTTGTAAGGGGGATGGATATCAAGCTGCTGTTTATAAATTTGAATGTCTTAAAAAAGCGTTCTTGCTTGCTCTCTCTGTTGTAGATGGTGTCTTAGCAAGTCCTGAGTTTTTCCAGTGAACCCAATTTTAATATATGGTATTTTTGTATGCCAAACTGGTGTCTTGTCCTTTGTATCTGTGGTAATGTTGATTTTATGACTACTGTTAAAACACATTTGCTATGATTAAAATTCATAAAACAATTTCAAGTAGACTCGTGTTGGTTTTTCTTTTTTCCCCACCCCACAAAGAGAAAAAGATGGGCTGAACATTTCCTCATCAGCCACTCTAAGAATTTTAATAGACTTGGGTCATAAAGCAAAAAGGAGCTCCCGAGCCCCGTAGTTCAAGTGGAGGTGACCTTCAAGTCATTCTTCTGGCTCCTCTGAGAAGCCAGAGCGTGCATTCGTAATGAGTAAGGCCAAGCATGCTTCCTGAGTTGGGTCTTTGTGGCTTCTGGCAGCCCTGCCTTTACCCTCCACTGTTCGGTGGACCATCTTGTCGCATGTGCAGAACAGCTTCACACCCAGGCTTCCGCGCAGTGAGAGGCGGTGTGGCCTGCCTCTTGGTTCTGAGTCTGGAAAGTATCCTTCAGTGAACATTTTCATCAGTGGGACAGAGCGCGTTTGGAGGGCTTTTTTAATGAAAGCATCCTGTCTTTCAATAACTCTGGATCACGTCAACGAATTTCAGTTCAGTGAGCACGTGGCCTAATCCTAATTGAGGGCTTGTCAATGATCCAATAAGCAGCATGCCAGTGTGCGCATGATATGGCTCTCTGGAAAATTAACCCTCTTCAGAGTTTTAAAAGTGAAAGGTTACTGTGACTCAGTATCTATTTCTTGGACCAAAAAGCAAGTGTTGTATTAGGGTGTCCAGATTGTTGAAAGGGTGAAATTCAGTTTATTTTAAAAATCTTTGACAGGGATTTCCCTGGTCTTGAGTAGTGTGTGTGTGTTGGGGTAAGGAAGGATCCCCTTGTTAGAGGGGCTGCTCATTCCTGAGCTTTTCTATCAGCTAACAACGGAGTTGACTGGAAGAAGACAGAAGGGCACCAAGGCGTTTAAGTGCCTTAGTTTCTCCAGGTCTCAGCTCCTACGTGCCAGACTGGATTGTAGCTATAATCTTATCTAGAGCCTTCTCTGTACACTTATTGGGAACCAGGGTGAAGGAGAGGGGATTATGAATGAGCCCTACATGCACATCTGGCCTGGGGATACCCACGTTGGCTACTATTGAGATGAGTCTCTATTTGGGTAGCACAGGTTTTCTGCCTCTGGGTGTAGGGCTGGCAGGAGGGTGTGAAGCAATGTCGGCTCTGAGATCTTTGCCATTCAGTCCCCTCCCTGCAAAGGGGGGCTGAGTGTGAGTAGCTGAAGGTCCTGGAGCAGCGGGGAAGGGTGCACACAGTGAGGAGAGCCAGGCCAGGTGTCCACTGCATGCCAAGCTCACCCTCAACCCTTACCATTTCCCCTCCAAACACTCGGCCAAATCTGCAAATGAATTATTTTTCTTAATGCCTTTGTTCCCAGTGATGATTCTTGGAAGAGGCAGCCATGTACCGTGTACACCATGAAGCACTAAGCCGGGTAAATAGCAGCTGAGGGGGAGTGGGGTGGGGGGGGAGGAACTGATCCTAGAATTAGGTTGAGCCTCTGCTTTTCTTTTTATAGGTTTGAAAACTTTTGCACAATTCTATTTGACCCAGAAAATGATACAGCTGTAATTGGTTTCAGTCTCTCCCCAAATTTCCTGCTCCCTGTGTTTCCCACCTGTCTATATACCACTGTGCTTAATAAATGATTACTTTTATTTGCAAGAGTCAGCCAATATACAGATGTCAATCTGTGTGCATACATGCCCGGGTATGTGTGTATGTGTGTGTATACACATGAACATTCCATGGACTTATGGCACAGACTTTTTTTATAACGTTGAAAGAGTTCAGATTTTTAGAGAGAAGTTAGAGTAGTGAACAGTACTCCAATTTGGCTACAAAAAAAGAATAATTTGTAAAGAATCATGAGGGAAGTTAGGGAGGAGGGCGCTCCCCTTGGATCACTCGTTCCTTTGCTCAGGTCCCCCCTGACCGCCAGGCCCTAGGGCTGCTGAGATGGACAAGGTGGGAGTGCCCCCGTCCTCATGGACCTCACAGTATTAGAGGGAAAAGAGGCATTAATCAGGAATGTTCACCCCCAATGCAGAGGCCCGCGGTGTTTGAACGCACATACCAGGGGAGAGGGTGGGCTGCTTGATGGGTTCAGGGTCAGGGATGTGTGAGAAAAGCCTTTCTGGAGGAAGTGGCTTCTAGGATAAGAGCTGAAGGATAAATTGAGGTCAGGGAGGGCCACTTATGGAAACACATTCAAGAAGGGACAATGAGAGACCCCGGAGGCATGGTGCCTTTTATGAAGACGGACAAGCAGTGCACTCCCTGCCATTGTGCATTGCTTGTTGCCGTGTTACACTGAGAAGGGTGATATTTCAGTGTGGCTCTCCCACCCCGAGAATATCCACAACCGCCTTTTACAAAAGCACAGCTGTGGGGTCTGTTTCACTGGTAGATATTTTCATCAGACATCACCGTGTGTGGAACCCACTCCACAATGGACATTTCACCTCCCTGTCCTCACTTAACATGTGCTTATTTTCTTCTGCCTGTGCCACGTGCAGAGGAAGAGGACATGTGGAATCTTCTGCCCAATACTTCTTAGTTGTTAGTTTCTGAATCAAATGGATTAGAGTTCAATATTGCTGACACAGGCTACACATCAACCCCTGTCAGAGGTGAGGTCTTCAAAAAAGCATTTCCTAAGCTCAATTTTGAGTATTAGGAGGTATTATAAGAAAGGTGTTTTGTGATTAAGTAGGCTGGGAAAATACTGGTTTAAACAAGTTTTGTGGTTTTTTAATTGTACAACTTTTCAGAGTCTTTAACACACATACTAGGTCTTTAGAGAAACAACCAGTTAGCATGTGTATGTTATACACTCTCTCTAGATCTGTGTATAAAGTGGGTGTACACATATATCAATACATATCTACATGCATCTGTTACACATAGCATATATATATATATACGTATCATATCTACGTGTCTCTTTGTAAAGAGATTTAAAGATTGGCTTACATAATTTGAGACGGGCACGTCCATCTTCTTCAGAGTAGACCAGGAGGCTGCAGACCCAGAGAAGAGTTGATGTTGCAGCTGGAATCCAAAGGCAGTCTGTGCAGGCAGAATTCTCTCTTCCTCGGGGGGAGGTCAAATCTTTTTTCTCTTAGTAATTGAAGAGGCCCACTCACATTATGGAGAACAATCTGCTTTACTTAAACTTTACTGATTTAAATGTTAACATCTAAAAAATACCTTCATAGCAACTGCAGACCAGTATTTGACCTTCTTTCTGGGTATCATGGCCTGTGCCAGTGGACATGTCAAGTTATCCATAGCACTATGCTAAACTGCCTTGCAAATCTCTAGAAGGGGAACATAATACATTTCACTTCCTCCCTGTTTATTTGAGTAAAGAATCCATTATTTGCAGGACACCTATTGACATCTGGTAGAATGCAGTGTGGGGAATATTGACCTTGAATAATGATTCACGATTTTGATTTACCCCAGATAATCAAAATCTGGCCAAAAAAAATTTTTTTTTTTGCTTATTATTTATGTAATGTGATTAAGCCATTAGCTCACATGTTGGCTTTTTCATTTTAAAACAGTATAATGTAGATATAAAAGAACTCTATACTAGTAGTAGATTTACCTTGATGGTATATTGTGAATAATTTGCATGCTGAAATTCCATGTACGGCACACATTAACAATGAAATGTTCTCGCATTAGCAAATTATGGGGGGAAATACGGGTACATCTGCTTTAGTAATAAGGGTATGGATGATTCATACGTGAACACAGTGCATACATAGCAGAGTAATTTTGGAAAATTATAGCCTAAAAATTCATAAATATTCATTGCTACATACTATGGGGTTAAAAAACAACCCACAACAAACTAAATTGATAATGATGAACAGAACTAACAATAATTTGCTATTAAGAAGAGAGAAGAGCAGCAATTAGGAAACAGCATTCAAGGCAGTACTGATAATGAGTATGTACCCTTCCCCCAATTGCAGGAATTTAACTATTTGCATATGCACATGTGCAATAGGAGCCTTCCAATGTTAGTAAAATCCTGAAACCATGCCTAAATTCTCTAAATTCTCAAAAGCACTAATTTTAATTTAAAAATACCAAATTTAGCAAAACATAGGTAGGCAGTTGCTGAGTTGATCTCACTTAGGCATTTAAGAAAAAGTTTTGAGATTGGCAGTGGCAGCACATTAGGGAGATTTTCTGGCCCTACAGTGGGCAGACGACCACAGTGGGCAGAAGGCCATACGTTGAGAACCAACGTGTAGAGGATTAGGCAACCAAATAAAGGAATTTACCAACATATGCAAAATGCATAAATTAGAAAATCATTTTTCCATTTCACAGAACACCATATTATATTAATAGACATGTAAATTTCATGGAATGAAATCGAGTGTTGTAATATTTACTTGAAAGTGTACTCAATATATAGGCAATATGAAGACTTTCTGTATTTATGCTCTTGTAAATTTCCATCAGTTTTTATGTACTTAAACACACAACTTCCTACTGCACAGTTCCTTATTAAGCACTTAACAGTTAAATTCCATATTAAATTATATTCTCCTACCCCTACCTTTTAGGACAAATCACATCTCCTTTCTAGTAGTTTTATGTAGGCAGCCAAGAGATGGTTGTGATTTTATCTCATACTAATCTGCCCCATGTTCCAGCCATCAGAATGGTTAACAGTTAAATAAAAGGTTTGTACACCCTCATGTTCAGCCCTGCTCCTCCAACCTTTTCCAAAGAATATATTTGGTGGCTTTTATTTTTATGGATATCACTGTTAACTTCAGGATAACTTCAGTTTATATAATTCTGGAAAATGGCATTTATGCTTAAACAAAGGATAGACTGAATATGTAAATTTTGAAGAGAAGCAGAATTAGTGAATGTGGGATTAAACGGGGAAAGACTTCCTACAAGAGAATTTGAACAAAGTACCACTGGCAGAGGTCATGTTGACCTTGCCCGGGATTTATCCTTGATAGACTGGGGTCTACCCAGGCTTTGTTCTCTGCACTGTACCCCCAGCATCTACTG